GGAAACAGTAGAATAGTTCAGCTCCACAGAGAAGGGGACACAGTCAGAAGGTTGCTTAACCCAATCCGTACTAGTGCATTGAAGATCACTGAAGTCACTTTGGGCATTCTTACCTTGTTTCATTGGTCACACTGAAACGAACTCCCTGTGTCCTGAAGGGTGAATCATGCACCCAGCAGACTGAGGTGTAGCTCATTTCTTTTTTTGCTTTTTCGTTTTTATTGGTACCAGGGATCGAACTCACAACTGCCTGCAAGGCAGGCGCTTATGCCGCTGAGCTAAATCCCCAGCCCCTCATTTCTAATGTTCCCAACAGAATTTGTGTTTCATTCCTGGAAACCCTGGGCCATGATTGAAATAAAGCAAGAAGCAAATCCTAATTTGTAGTTTGGAAAATGACTGCTAGTATAGTCAACTAAGTAGTTTATGGTAAATTTTGCTTATGTTTCTTCTGTGTCAAGTATCAACAAAAGGGCCATCACAGATAAAAGTATTCTAATTAAGAGTTACAACAGAAAAGAATACTTATGGGGAAATATATTTCTATGCCAGACTCACGGCTTAGCAGGATTCTTCTCCCCTCATCTTACTCCAGGGGCTTTCCCCTTCATTCTGCACTGCTGTACTTTCTCCTTGTGAACTTAGTTTTTCTGTGTCTTATTTTTGTTATTTGCACAATGGAAGATAACAATGCTATCTACAACTTGGTGTTATTATAAGAGCTACTTGAAGTAATGTTTGCAAAATTTATGGTATAGTATCAAACATTACAAAAGTGATTAATGTCAGATAATCCTTGCCTTAATTAAAGTTATTTAATAAATGATAAACCTCCTTTTAATATGGTATATCAAAACACACACACAAAAGAATATTCAGGTACCACCTAGGAGGAAAGAAGCTTGGACATGGCAGGACTTTGATGAGACACAAAAAATGCAGACAGTTTCCGTCAACAAATAAAAAAATGTGAAAAAAAAAATCCCTCTCATATTCATGGGATATGAAATGGAAAATAATTTGGTGTCTCCTTAAAAAGTTAAACTATGTAGAATTATCATATGACACCAAAGTTCCACTCCTAGGTACATTGAAGAATTGAATTGAAAAGAGGTACTAAATATTTAGGCACACATGTTCATAGCAACACTATTTATAATAGCCCAAAGAACCCAAATATTCACCAGCTGATAAAGGGATAAACAAATTGTGGTATTGCCATACATGAAATATTACTGAACCATAAAAAATACTCATACATGGTACAGTGTGGGTGAATCTGGAAAACAACCTTATACTGAGTGAGAGAAGCCGTATACTGTATAGTACGACTCCATCTATAGGAAATATCCAGAATAGGTGAATCCATGCAGGCAGAAAGTGGATGAGTGGTTGCCAGCTGAGGATGGATAACAACTGCATAATGGGAATGGGGTTTTCTTTGGAGGTGGTGGAAACATTTTGGACATGGAGGGAGATGGTGGTTGTACAACTTTGTGAATGTATGAGATTCTACTGAATTGTTCACTTTGGAATGGCTAATTTTAATGGTTTAATTCATGGTTTCGTTTTAAAGGCTTCTCAGTCTTTTGGCTAAAATTGAGTGAGATGGTTTTATGTTTTGTGAATTTTACCTCATTAAAATAAAATGTGTGTGTCCGTAAATAGGAGAGAGAGTGAGTGTGCTCTCTTTGTAAGAGCTGAGAAGGCAGAAAGAGCCTAGGTTTCCTCTTCCACTCACCAGAGTCTTCTCACCTAGGAAAGTTACCAGTGTCTGGCCCCTCTGAGCCTTTTTTCCTCATCTGCAAAAAAAATGAAGTGGCACTAAGATCCCTTTCGGTTCAAATTCCAAGGAAAAGAAATCCAGCATCCGTCTTTCTCCCCTCTCCTTCACTTGCTCAAGATGACTGCAAACATGTCCTGGAAGACAATGTTGTGACTAAATGTCATGGATACTAATTTTAGTTATTAATATGAAAATGTATGTATTTTAATATTTGTTATGGTTTAAATCATAAATGTTCCCAACAGGCCCATATGCCAAATGCTTGGTCACCAGCATGTGATGCTATCAGGAGGTAATGGAAACTGTTAGGGGTTTGGGCCAAGCATCCACAGATTGAAACCTTTGAAATCATGACCCCCCCCCCAAAAAAAAAAAACTCTTTTCTCCTTATAAGTTGATTATTTCAGATATTTTGGTGACAGTGACAGAAAGCTGACTAGCACAGTATTCATTATGAAAGTGATATAGGTTAATGGACAAATACCTGGAACCAGTGCACTTGAACAAGCAGCTTGGGGTTTGCCTTTCTACCCTCAGCCTGAGCCCATGTCTGGCACCAGCCTGTCTGTGCCCCTCTGTGTAATCGTATACTTTAATTTTTGCCAGCCCCACCATCTCTGGTTTCTATGCCAAATGCAGTGCTGGCGGCCTCAAGCTGATTGAGGGAGCCTTGGTTGATTAATAAGTGCTCCTGCCAAGTACGGATGGTGCCATTGGATTGAATTCCACTCTGAAGCATGCTTTACAACCAAAGTCATCTAGAACAGCTTAAGGCTGCATCGCTAGAAATGTGTGTAGACTACTACTGTAACCAGAACAACAGTGTAAACAAAGTTTTGGTCACAAGACTAGCTATGCTTTGCTGTGAAATTATTGAAATATTATTTCAATCCTAATTACCCAGTCATAAGGTTTAAAATCATAGGCAAAAATGTTCACTCTGGGAGGTAAGTTTATAATTTTCTTTCTTTCTTTCTTTCTTTCTTTCTTTCTTTCTTTCTTTCTTTCTTTCTTTCTTTCACCAACATCTTCACAAGTTACTATAGGTTTCCAGTCCTTTGTAAACCACCTCCAAATTATACTCCTAGGAGTATCAGTGTATGTACAAAGAACCTTCAACTAGAAAAGTTTTGGCCAGCTGTCAAGGAGTATCTGTCATTCTTCCTTTTTAATTCTAGCCCTCTTTAGGGATATGTGTTTCTGATCTCTGCAACAGTACCCAAAGCTATGAAAACCACAAGCTACTGACCACCACAGCCCACATTCAGGCTGCTTCATAGCTTGGTCATCCCTGGAGGAGATCATTAAGGGGCCAAAGTGGTTCTTTGGGTTCAAGCAGAGACACCCTCCCTTTTGTTACTACATCTCCATTTCACTCCAGCAAGTAAACAGCTGGCTGGCTTTCACACTCGGTTTCCCATCTTGGAGCTTGAGCATCCACCGTGGCTGTGTAGGGAGACAAAACTGAGAGACAAATGCCCCTCACTGGCCTCTGAGGTTTTGTTTTGGGCCAGGCTAATAAGCTTGACACTTCCTGCAAATTCTCCTTGGGAAATATTCCCAGTGCTTCTTATAAGGGGACTTTTTTTTTTTTTCAGGATTAATCCCACAATCTGTGTTGGTTGCGTGGCTCAGGGTCACCAGGAACTATGTGAGTTACCAGCAACTATTTACTGGGCATCTGCTATGGTTAGCCACTGGGGTTCCCAGGATGATGACTCTCATCATGGTTGAGCTGCTGTGGGATTTTAGAGGGCAGCTGCCTGAGCACTGGCCAATTCCAGCCTTTGCCTAAGGGGGGGGGGGCACCTCTTGCTGAATGATTATGCCGGAGATGCCAACTCATTACTGGATGTGCAGGGGCCTTGTCTCAATATAACTAGAAATATCTTCAAAGATTCTCAGAGCCTCAACCGTCCCTCAAGAACATCTCACAGGTCCTTGCTTGATCATGGTTACTCTGCTCTTACTGCATAGCAACACTCTTTCCTCCTCTGCCTGTTTTGTTCTTGGCCTGAAGTGTACCACAGTGCCCTGCTGAGTGTCAGAGAGGTGAGGGTTACTAGAAAGAGAATAAAGCAAAAAAGCGGTAGGGGATCGTGTACAAAATAATATCTGACAGCCCAGGATATTTATTTGTTCAATTTAAATGAAGAACATAAGCACACAAGAATGTAGAATTAAAAATATAGAAATGGCTTTGGCGAAATTCATGATTTTTTTTTTTAAATTCTGATCTGTGGTGTTCAGGAGGAAAGAGGATCAAAAATCTTAAAAGCAATTAGCTTATCTGTGAATAACAGAAAGTCTGCCAGGCAGTGTCCGGCCGTCCTGTGAGTGCAGCTGCTTGTGGAAAAAGTGAGGACAGAAACCTGGAATACCCTGTATCCTTGGGGGGACACGGGGAAGGGCGGACGTCAGTGTCTACTGTTACAGGAGCATGTGATTAATTTTGAAGGTAGAATTTCAGAACATCATATTTTAGTAAGAAGTTCAAACAGTAAGTGGATAAAAATACCTGGCAGACCAAAGTATAGATTTGCAAGGTTCAGCAAATGCTGTGACCCAGCGCTTCCTTACTCTGCACCATCCCCCTTGCCTAAGCCTATAGGGCCTCAAGCACCCAGTAGCGGCCAAGGGTGATAGCTGTTCATGCGTTATTCTGATTTTTAAATTTGTATTGGTACATGTTAACATTGCATAATAATTACATGCATTTTGGGAAGTTCTTAATCCTTCGCGTCTCTTCCCTGGCCAAAATCTCCTGACCTGGATCCAACAGCAGAGGAAAGATAAGGCACCAAGTCAAGCTAGATCAAGACCACTGTTTTATCAGTGTATTTGCTCCTGTGTTTATTACTGTATTGTATAAATGTGCTCTGGAAAGTGACTAGTCCTGAATGTGGCAGTTAACTGTGCTGTTAATTGCATTTACATTTCAGAGTGAGAGATCCAGGTTTTCAAGTTTGCTATGGGATTATACAAAGCAGTATGCAAATCGAGCACCTTCTAAAAATTCCATCTGTTCTCCAAGCCCTCCCCTGGTTACAAACAACTGAGGGAGGCGCACGCTCACTCGCCTGCGCCTGGATCCTGCGCGCAGAGTAAACCAGGCGGGTGACCAGCCCGAGACCGGCAAGGGAGGGCGGGGTGAAGGGCGGGGGAGGGCTGTCCCGGAGGCGGTCCCGGGGCGGGGCCGTGACGGGCGCCACCCACCGGCTCCGGGGCCGACCTCAGCCCTCCCCGCCTCGGGCCACCGCAGCTGTGGTAGATCCACAGCTCCGAAAGGGTCCCTCAGACTCCTCACTGGGCCAGTCCGGCGCTGGGTGCTGGAGCCCTGAGCAACTCCCGCGGCTCCCTAAACGGGGATTCCTTCTCTCCGGAGTTTGCGAGCAACTTTCCCCTCCCTTCCCGGCGGTGGCTCGGCGACCGTGGCCGCCGCAGGTTGCTGAACCCGGGACTCCGCTCCCCAAACCTAGGCTTCGCGCTCGCGTAGGTCGCTTCCTCTCGGAGTGCACCCTGGGGGTCCCCGACCTCGAAGCTGAAGGCGCGATGCCTCTGGGACACATCATGAGGCTGGATCTGGAGAAAATCGCCCTGGAGTACATCGTGCCTTGTTTGCACGAGATCGGCTTCTGCTACCTGGACAACTTCCTGGGCGAGGTGGTGGGCGACTGCGTGCTGGAGCGCGTGAAGCAGCTACACTACAACGGGGTCCTGCGCGACGGCCAGCTAGCCGGACCGCGCGCCGGCGTCTCCAAGCGGCACCTGCGGGGCGACCAGATCACGTGGATCGGGGGCAACGAGGAGGGCTGCGAGGCCATCAGCTTCCTCTTGTCCCTCATCGACCGGCTAGTCCTGTACTGCGGGAGCCGGCTGGGCAAATACTACGTCAAGGAGAGGTCCAAGGTAGGACGCGCTCGGGAGCGGGAGGCGTTCGGGGTCTGTTGTGTGCTGGGCTGCAGCGAACTTGGGTTTTTAACAAGTCAGTTTGGTTTCTCTCGTCCCTCTACCACCCCTGTACTCTCACCCCAGCTCCTCTGAGCAAAGGCCCTTGTTAAAGGGGGCTCCAGTGTGTCCTGATGGCCTTCTGTGACTTTGAAAGCATTGCTCTAGTTGGTGATACCAGCTGAACAGCTGTAACTTTTGGTTCGACTTGTAGACAGAGATTGTCAAAGATGCAAAGGAGGGAAAAGATATTAGACACATTGTATGTGATCTGAGACTCGTGTATTCAGAACATGAATGCCTGCTTTAGCCACCTAATATCGCCCGTCCTCGTGGTCGGAAGGGATTCCTACAAGAGCACTCTTAATTCCGGAGTCAGTTGTGATTTTGCTTGGTGGTAGCTGGTTTGTGGAGGAGCGTGGCAGGAGTGGGAGGGACGAGTTTGCCGTGCGAAAGATGAAACTCCTCTTCACTTCTGAGCGCTGCCCTTGACCTCTTGGACTTGGGACACTTTTAGCCCATCTACTTGACAAAATTGTCTTCCAGGGCACACCTTCTTTTTGCTAAGGATTCCTGACAAAACTCACACAAAGAAACCAATTAAGCACTTAGGAAAGAGTAGTCAAACACTTCTAGATAGAAACCGTGTTTTAATTCACCTGGGCATAAATGATTCTTTGGGTGATTGGTTGTTTATTTCAGAAACATTGACAGGTAGATTGGCAGAAATACAGGAACAGGTAGACGTCATTATGTCGATGCGTGTCTATTGGGACAGTCTTGCTAGTAGGCTATTCTTCAGAGTCCAGCCAGTTTTCTAGTGGCAGTTTTGAGTGAACTGCCCTTGTATGTGTCGTCAAGGGGAACCCAGAAAGTTGGAAAGCTTTTATCGAAAAACAGCGAAGTAGAGTGTATTAGCATGCGAGGGAAGGTGAACATTCAGCTGTGTGCCATCCTTTGACAATAAGTGTAACACTTTCCTTCTCCATGTAACACTGATCTTGTGATAGAATATTGTTTAATTTCTCCAGCAAACTGAAAGGAACTCTTAATGAAAGCAAATAGTAAAGACTAAAAATGTTAGAAGCGAAGGGGTCTAGATGGGTGTATGGAGTGGGGAGCTGAACATTGCTGACACCTTAGAGCCATGAAGACTTGGATAGAATATTTGAAAGCATCCTTGCGGGTGAACACAAATCTTAGAGGAAAGGTGTTGCTTTTTAAATTTTACTTTGATTTGGGGAAAGTTCAGAGTTAGCTGGTCTGCTTAGAATGATGGCAATGTATTTCTTCTTCCATTTGGTGCTGGATTAGGAAGTCATTTGTCTTTAGATCAGTTTTGTTTTTGTACCAATGACCTTGCTTGTCTGGTGGGTATGGAGGGGAAATCCCAGAGTGATGGGGGTACTTGTGGCTTCAACCTGGACGAGCAAATGGCTTATCAGGTTTTAAGTTTCTTCTAAACTCAGGGGTTGGAAACCCCCCCCCCCCAGGGTTCTAGATTTTGCTCTGAGGGAGGTCAGAATTAGTTGGGAGAATGATGTCAGAAACATACTTGAAAGTTAAATATTTTTATTTAACTTTGACTTAATGCATGAGGGTAGGATTTCAGTATGGAATTTAACTGAAACGGAATGAAAAGCACTGGGTAAGTCAAGGTAAAGAAAAGAATCTTAGATAAGATTCTTGAATTTTGGGTTATCGTCTGGGTGAAGTAACAACTTTTCAGCTAACTGTGTCAGAAGGTGACTGAGGTGATAAGAGCAGATTCATCTTCTCCACTGAAGAGACATCTGTTTATTCCCAGGTTCCAGCTGTATTTCTGCTATTTTGGAATACAGCACTTCATTTTTGCCCTTTAGAAAAATCACCTCTTAAACATTCCTGGCCAATTAGAACCAAATGCAAACCAAGCCTCAGCAAATGATTTGTATAACAAAAACAAAACAAAAAATTTGATTTGCTTGAATAAAGGAGTCTGTGTCCCCAGGTCTGTCATTCGGTGTTCATCATTACAGCATTGTGGAAACACATTCCATTTCTATAGTTTCACTTGAACTAAGCTTTTTCCCCCTCATGACCTTCTTTTCCTCTCTACTTTATGTTGTGCTGATTTCCAGAGTAGTGATACAGAGGGATCCCGTTTCTAGCTGCATCCTATATGCAGGTTTTCAGTAAAAAGTAAATTTTGCAAAGGCAGAATTTTGTACCTATATTTTGAACTTGTAACCGTTTATTGAGAAAAATTTCAAATACACACCAATGTAGAGAAGCTAGTGTAATGAGATCCCGTCCCAGCTTCAACACTTGCTGGTGTATACATTTAGTTAGATCAGTTGTTTTTGAGGTACTTTAAATTTCTTGATGTTATGCTTATGAATGCATGTACCCTAACAAAAAATATTTTTGGTGTTTTTGCTGGACTTTTAAAGGTCACTGAATAATGCAGTAATGCTATATTATCGCAGGGAAGCAATAGCTAACACACAGGGAATGAATGATACTATGTCTTGGACCTAAAATCAAAATAGTGGATGAAAATACACAGAAATATTAGGCTGTCCACTTCCTTGCGAAAAGAGTTGCTGTTGGCCAGAATTTGTCTACCTTATCTTGCTTCCAGGAAAAGCATAGGGTGCTAAAGACCCTTGGGGAAGAAGTTTCCTATGATGTACAGCAGGATGGCGCCCCCTAACTTCAAGCATGATCATTGCTTTCAGACTCTCAAAGGCGTTCTTATCTTACTCCCTTGGTGGGGGGGGGGGTTAGGCTTGATCCAAGATAAATACTGGTTATAATTTGCTGCTTTTTCTTTGGCTGCCTAGATCTCGTAAATGGCTGTTTTCCAGTGAACGTGTAATTTACAGAACCAAAAGTCCCTCTGCTTAAAGCATTTCACTGTAGACTCGCCAGTGAGTGATTCCAATAATAATAATATGAATACTTTTTATTGAACAGTTTGCTCTGTCTGGCATTGCACTAAGCACTGTACAAATGCCTTCCTAATCTTCAAAATCACAATCTTAACAAATTGAGGGTTTAAATAATTTTCCCAAAGTCTCAAAGTCGGTGACAAGCAGTTTATGAAAGGGATTAGGGATTTATAGGCTTGAAGTTAACTCCAAAGTTTGTGGCTGCAGATAAGTTGCTTAGGTTTCAACAAGTGTAAATGCCTTAGACAGAGCTTGAGGGGGAAGGAACATTAAATACTGTAATGTGCATGAAAAGGTGTTAGCAGAATCCCCAACCTTTGTCCATGTTCTAAGGCTTTAAATGAGATTTGAGCGTGTGACCGGGATCTCTCTGACTCAGGAGTCTGTGTTCTTAGTTTTCCTGATTGTCTTCCTTTCATGTGCTCTGCAGGTGTTTATGGAATGCTCATGCTATGGGCTGCTATGCAGGGTTTGGAGGTAGAGGGAGTGGTGAACAAGCTTCCACTCATGTGTATCTTTGAATTGCAGGATCCTCTAGTTCACACTTGACTAACTCTCAAATTTTATTTAAAAAAAGAAGACTAAATCTCCAGTGAAACGAATCCATTGAATATATAGGAGGAGTAAATGAAGTCGGGGTCAGGTTTCCCTGTGGTTATTTTTAGGACAGTCTGAATTACCAGGGTTGGTGGTTAGGATCTCTGACCGAAGTGGCTGTAGATCCCAGTTTTGGGAGGGTTACATTGCAAACAGACAGATTTGTCCTTTCCGGGCAGCAGTATAGAGGAGTGATGAAATGGCACAAGATTTATGAATAAAACAAAGTGGGTGGCAAGGTGGTAGGCTTATTTCTCTACTCTTGAGCAATAAGAGTTTTGGCTGCTGCTTCTCATGTGATGTCAAGAATTCCATCCCTAGTCACAAGCTGCTGTCTGCAGAGATGGGATAGATTGTGAAGATCAGGATATCTCTCAGGACCCAGGAGCAGGAAATGTAGTCAATGGTCTCAGAAAACTGGAAGTCATCATGTAGAGTCCTTCATGTCTGGGCCAACTGCTGTATTCCTTCTTTGAGCTTTATGGCATCTGTTTTTGCTTCTTGGCTTACGTTCTTTATTTCTTTCCCTCTTTTGTTCCAATCTAGCTTTGCAGGTATTTCACATACATAGCTCAAAATGGCTGCCCTGTTGTGGCCACTTCAGGGAGAGCAGAGGCTTGAGTAACATTCTGGAATCGCTGTTTTCCTCACCATGAGAAAATATGATCATCTATCTTGGCTTGGAGGCCCTGGAAGTTATGGTTGGGGGTAGGGGGAGGAAGAGAGTATATTGTCATGAGAATGGTTGTCAGAGTCCATGAGAGGTGTGGTTCTAGCACAGTATGTGGACTGGACACCATACAGAGTATCTCTGCAATGAAAATCTTAATGTGTGTGTGGACAAAGTGTGTTAGGGAGGGGGCACTAAGGTTCAGGCACTGAACCTTACATCTTCTTGTAAAGATGTAAGGGATTACTATAAAAGGTTTGATATTAAAAATAACTTAGCTCCTGGAGGAAGGAAATGACTCCAAGGAAATAATTTATGGAATACAGCCCGAGGGACAGGGAAGCAAGTCTCTCTGTCTGGTGACTTTGCATGGTGTTCATTGTCTATTTTGTTGAATGTCACTTGGGAACAAAGAAGGAAGAGTGAGGTGTATGTGTATGTGTTTAATTTATGTTCTTTTGTTCAGTTTTTGTGCTGACTATTCAGATACGATCTTATCTGCTTGTCTAGAAGCCAGAAATCAGAGTACCAATTTAACTCATCTATTCGCAAATCCTGAATGCCTTCACTATAGTAGACCTGCACATGGGTGGACTAAGGAAGGAGGAAAGCAGGAAGCCACCTGAAGAAGTAACCTGATGGGGGTGGTTTTGGTTTTGTTTTTTCCTGATTAGAAAGCCCACTTTTGCACTCATTTGTCATTGTTTTTCTTTGCACTTTCTCAGGGCCAGGGATTTAGCTCAGCAGGCATAAGTGCCTGC